AACTGATTATATCTGATTACTTTTTGATTAATTTTAAGTTTCTAATGGATATTTTCAGCTAAATCATTTTCAAGCATTTATACTAAGCAGGTGTGACCTTACAGTGGCTCTGTTTACTGTTAGAATTTCAAAATCTTTCATCACTTGAATTAAGATTATATTAATTTCATTTTAAAGTACAGCCACCACAAAACCAGACCTTATAGCAAAAAAGTGTTTACTGTTGTTACAAAATCAAAATTTTGCATATTGTATAATTATTTACAACTCTTCATTAATAAATTACACTACATAATGTAGTATCATCAGTAACTATCATGAACTAATAGTAATTACCATAGTATACTTTATATATATATATACCTCCTCTCCCTCAGTCATCTTCAGATCAAGAAAGTTTAGGCCCGTGCACACCGAGACGTTTTTTGCTCGACGTTTAACACCTCGCGACTAAATAACGGGCGTCAATGTGATCGTGCACACCAACGCGCAAAACGGCAGGCGCAAAAGTGCCATTTTGAAAAAAAAATGACTCATGTTTTTTTGTTTTGACGCGCCACGTCAAAATCTTCTCCACCAATCAGATCGCCACTTTCGTTCACGTGCACGGAGCTGCTGAAGTTACAGTAAACAGCACTTGGAGGCGCTCAAGCGCTAAACTGTCAATGCAAGCGCAAACTGAAGAAGATGCCCAGAGGTGATATGAACGTGGAGCTGCAGCTTGAACCATCCATGCTTGTTCGAGTAACCAGTAACTTTAACAACAAACGTGTGAACTTCCTTTCCTCCTCTTCTTCTGTTTTATAAGCGGGTGTCAGAAGCTTAATGTTGTTAAGCGCTATCTAACGTCAAAAGAGTGATTTTGCATACTCTTCAGCTTGACACCAGTGAAAAGCGATTGGGTTTAAATGCGGGAAAACGTCTCGTAAAACGCTGACGATTAACGCAAATGAAAAGCGTCCCGGTGTGTAGGAGCCTTTTCTCGTGTTAGCCTAATTGGCTGGCGACGTCACTGGAGCGAGAGGTGGCAGTAATGCACCATAAAGTTTGTTGTCAAGCACTGTAAAACAGGAAGAAGAGGAAATCGTCATTCTCGCCATCATATGGATTTACTTTCATCGGCTAGACACTGGCTTCACAGCTCTGTGAATGTCAGTCCTGTCACTTAATGATCCGTGATCGGTAAATGTAGATTGTGTGGACGCTACTGCGCTACTTGCTAAAAATAATAGCTACGCTACTGAAAAGCTATTTTGATATATAAAAATGCCACACTACTGAGAAATGTAGTTAAGCTAGTAGCGTCACTACTTGTAACGATGCTACTGCCAAACTCTGTTAATGTGATAAAATTGCTTTGGCCAGAGGAGTCTGTTGGTACCCTGAATTTCACAAATCAATAATTTTGTGAGTCGATATATATATTTCGATATGAAAGGGGTTGTTTTTATTTCTGTACACTCACGATAACAACAAAAAAAAAAGGCTAAAGAAAGGCTAGGTTACACACCTGCAGATGCTTCCTCGGATTCGACATTGAAGCCTTTGATGTCAAAAGTATTGTAACAGCTGCAAAACTATTTTTGCACTGAACTGTTTTTTGTGTGCCCAGGGTGAAATTATTTTAAAATTTCCAGCAATGAAATGCATTTTTAGGACAACGCAGTGGCGCAGTAGGTAGTGCTGTCACCTCATAGCAAGAAGGTTGCTGGTTCGAGCTTCTGCTGTGTCAAATGGCGTTTCTGTGTGAAGTTAGCATGTTCTCACTGCGTTCGCGTGGGTTTCCTCCGGGTGTTCCAGTTTCCCCCACAGTCCAAAGACATGCGGTACAGGTGAATTGGGGAGGCTTAAATTGTCCGTAGTGTATGAGTGTGAATGAGATTGTATGGATGTTACCCAGAGATAGGTTGCGGCTGAAAGGGCAACCAATGCGTAAAAAGGGGCTGGATAAGTTGGCGGTTCATTCCCCTGTGGCGACGCCGGATTAATAAAGGGACTAAGCTGAAAAGAAAATGAATGAATGAAATGCATTTTCTTGTTACTTTTCTTTTTCTTCTTTCTTCCTTTTCTTCTTCATCTTTTTCCTTTTTCTTCTTTTTTGTTAAAATTCTTTTTGCTCCTTTTTTTCTTTTTCATCACTTCTTTTTTCAGTTCTTTTACTTTTTTCTTCTTTTTCTTGTTATTTTTCATTTTCTTCTTTTTCGTTCATTTTCTTTTTTCTTTGCTTTTTGCCTTTTCTTGTCCTTTTCTATTTTTTTCCTTTTTCTTCTTTTAATCCTTTTTTTCCTTCTTGGATAAGTTGGCGGTTCATTCCGCTGTGACAACCCCGGATTAATAAGGGGACTAAGCCGAAAAGAAAATGAATGAATGAAATGCATTTTTATCACTCGCCATGGTGACAGCTCTCTGAATGGTTGTAGTAGCCTAATGCTTTCAGCGGCAAAGAGGATTAACGTAATTGGTAGACTTGGTGCGCCGTAATCAAACCGGAAAACCAATCAAAAGCATCAGAATATAGCAGCACTTTAATAAGTGGCCTTAATTAAATTACTTAACAGTGTTACATGTAACTAGTTACTCCCCAACACTGGTCTCCACGATGTAGTAGTACAACAAAAAGTACAACATACTTAACCACTTATAATTTGGTTATTAAACTAGTTTGCTTGTGAAAATAAGCCAGATAATTCACAGTGTTCGCAAATATTTCAAAATAGTAGCCAGCTTCATTGGGTTTCATCTTGATTTGTATCATTTGCTTAGTTCTGTCACTTCAGTTTTGTTCTCGTGCTCCGATTCATAGTTGAACGGCCAATCAGAGAGCTCTCTTACAGACGGCTGATGGCAGTTCTACTTGCTGAACTGGACACCCTGACATGGGGTAACGTGTGGAACATATCAATCAAACTAGCCTGACAGACATTCACAAACAGCCCGACACTTTCCAGTGGCCAATCGTCCACTTGGTGTGTCCAGGACTTGACAATCTATAGTCGGTGAACTATGGAAGTGACTAAAGAACCGATTATCAGGATCACACCAGAGCAGTGTGAGAGACTAGTGATATCCTGTGGCAGCAGATGTGCTAAAGTCAGTCAATGCAAGGGCCTGTACACTTCAAACGCATTCTTGACTATTGTAACCTCAGAAAGGTTTGTTTTCATCTGTATTCACTAGCTACATTTGTGTCCATCTATTTCTATGTGCATTTTAGACAATGATGCAAGATGCGCATCAATTTTTCAAAATGCGCATAAAAAACGTAATCGCAAAACTGAGTATAAACTGTCGGATAAACCTACAGTTTGTATTCGATAAGAAAAGATGCACATAAACTTTGATAGAAAAACTTTTACCAAACAAATTACAGTATGTGATTTAAAAAATGTTATGTGAGTTTGTTATAAGAGATTGTGTGATGATAAAAATGTGTGTAAATGGACAAACCAGCAGGCTGAGCACACTGTAAAACATCTGAAATGATGTTTTGGTCATTCCAAAGCGTCTTAACCATCTCAGTATTAGTGTTATTATTAATCACGTCCAGAACTGTCTAGAGTCTCTGTGCTCCATGTCTCATGTCTTTAAGTGCCACTACGCGTTTATTAACTTTGACTTGTTGGATGGAAACGCTGCGGAATTCGCACGTCTTTTATGTGATATTCCAGTTTTAATTAAAAACTAAAAAGTTAATTTGCATTTTTGTATGGAAACATAACTTTTTTTCTTCTTTTTCTTGTTAATTTTCTTTTCTTCTTTCTTTTTTCTTCCTTTTCTTCTTTTTTTCTTTTATCTTCTTTTTCTTGTTGATTTTCTTCTTCTTCTTCTTCTTTTTCTCCTTTTTCTTTTTTCTCATTTTTTGTTTATTTTCTTTTTTCTCCTTTTTTTCTTTTTCTTTATCATCTTTTTCTTTTTTCTTCTTTTTCTTGTTATTTTTCATTTTCTTCTTTCTTGTTCTTTTTCTTTTTGCTTTTTTTGTTCTTTCTAGTTCTTTTTCATTTTCATTTTCTTCTTTTTCTTGTTCTTTTCTTTGTTCTTTTTCTGTTTCTTTTTTTACTTCTTTTATCTTTTTCTTCTTTTTTCTTCTTTTCTTGTTCTGTTTTCTTTTTCTTCTTTTTTTCTAGTTGTTTTTGTTCTTTTTCTTTTAGTTCTTTTTTTGTTCTTTTTCTTTTTTTCTTTTTCATTTTCACTTTCTTTCTTCTTTTTCTAATTTATTGGTTGTTTTTCTTCTTGGTCGTGTTCTTTTTCTTTATAGTTTTTCTTTTTCTTTTTCTATGTTTTCCTTTTTCAATTTTTTCATGTTTTTTTCATCTTTTTCTTTTTTCTTCTTTTTCCTTTTTTATGTTTTTGTCTTCTTTTTCTTTTTCAGTTTCTTCTTTAAATTTTTTTTGTTCTTTTTCTAATTTATTTCTTCATTTTATTTATGTTCTTTTTCAGTTTTTTCTTTTCCAATATTTTCTTGGTCTTTTTTTTCTAGTTCTTATTCTTTTTCTTCCATTTTCTTCTTTTTCTTTTATTGTTTTCCTCGTTTTCTTTTTCTTCTTTTTCTTTTTTTCTTCTTTTTCTTTTTCTGTTTTTTTCTTATTTTTCTGTTTCTTCTTTTTCGTTTTCTTCTTTTAAATTTTCTTCATTTTCTTGTCCTTTTCTTTTTTTCATTTTTTCTTTTCTGCTTTTTTTCTTTTTTTTCCTAATCTTTTTCTTCTAGTTCTTGTTCATTTTCTTCCTATTTTTTTCTTTTTCTTGTTGTAGTATTTTTTCCCTTTTCTTTTTCTTTTTTTTCTTCCTTCATCATTTTCTTTTGTCTTTTTATCTTTTATTATTTTTTCTTCTTTTTCTTCTTCTATTTTGTGTCTGGGTATTGTCACAACTAAAATTGCTTTAAATATTAATCATTATTTCTGTTCATAAATTGATCTCTAATTTGCACTCCACTGTACAGTATACATTTGCTCTATATTATGCTGATTAATATCTACCCATTGTGTTTTGTTTTTTAACAGGTATGCGTCTCATCTTAGACTGCAAGGCTTTTTTCGGCTACAGCGGTGATTCCAAACCGATCATCTACTGGATGAAGGGGGATAAGTTTGTAGAGGAGCTGGAAGGACACATAAGAGAGAGTGAAGTCAGGTAATGTTTTCTAGGCTTTATATCTGTTACTTCTTGAATTAAGAGCAATACACTATAAATAGGTAGAACATGCATGACTTCACAGTGCTGAAAGTGAAGAACAGACTGTGATTATATAATAGCACACTGACAACCTACAGGAAAACAGGTGTGACAGCAAACATGAAGATTACTGGGGACACAGAGACCTCTAGTGGACAAGTGTGCAAAAACAGGTTATTTATATAGAACACAACAGAAATAACTTTTGAAGATTTCATTAGCAAAAATAGATTTCTTTAATTTTTCTTTAGAATATTTCAAGTTTTTGCAACTACTAAAAAGCTCTAGTTAATTTCCATAAATCATCTGTTTTGCAATTTATGACATAACATGGTGTCTAAAAAGACTAAATTTGAGTCATGCTTTTGCAAATTAACAGTTGTGTAAACTCTGTGTGTTTTAAATATTCGCTGTGTATTCTCTTGTATAAACTGTGTATTCTGGAATAGAATAGAATAGAATAGAATAGAATAGAATAGAATAGAATAGAATAGAATAGAATAGAATAGAATAGAATAGAATAGAATAGAATAGAATTATTGATTGGGGTGGTGGACTTTTTGTACAGCAATACAGAATATATGGGACAGAGTGTTCATATGAGTATTTATAAATTATTGTTTGCAATGCAGTAAAGTATGCCATGACAAATCAATAAACAGTAATAATATGCATTAGGGTGCAGTGCAGTGCATACCTGAGATGTAGTGAGCACAGGTTATAGAAGGATGGTGGTATGTTGGTGGTTAGTTTCTTTATTTATTTATGGGATATAAAATATCTATCTATATAATAAATATCTATCTAAAATATCAGTTTATACATTCATTCATTCATTTTCTTGTCGGCTTAGTCCCTTTATTAATCTGGGGTCACCACAGCCAAATTAACTGCCATCTTATCCAGCACATTAATACACGGCGGATGCTCTTCCAGCCGCAACCCATCTCTGGGAAACATCCACAAACACTCATTCACACACACTCATACACTACGAACAATTTAGCCTACCCAATTCACCTGTACCGCATGTCTTTGGACTATGGGGGAAACCGGAGCACCCAGAGGAAACCTACGCGAATGCAGGGAGAACATGCAAACTCCACACAGAAACACCAAATGAGCCGAAGATCGACCCAGCGACCTTTTTGCTGTGAAGCAACAGTATTACCTACTGTGCCACTGCTTCGCCTAATATCAATTTATGTGGTATAAAATACTACACAATTACAAATAATTTAAAAAAACATCTGTCAGTTTCAGATGTTGTTCTTGATTTGTATATTGCATGTTCAGTTTATGTATGCATGAGTATTAAATATACATAAAAGCAATGACAGATTACATTTATGTGCATAATGTTTTTTTTTGTTTTATTTTTTTTACATGATTTTATTTTATTTTAATTGATTTTATTTATTTTTTTATTTTTTGGTTTTAGTTTATTTTATTTTGTTTTATTTAAATTTTATTTCTTTATTTTTTAAAATTTATTCTTTTTTTATTTTATTTTGTTTTATTTATGGTTTATTTTATGGACATTTTGGCATGAAATAAACTGATCTTTTACTTACTGTTATAATTTTACAGTGTATATTATTATTATTATAACATTTTTATACATATGGCTTCACATAAGGGAAAACCTGTTCTTTAATACATAATAATCATTTGTTTCCTTACAACATTTTTTTTTTAATTTAACACTAAAAGCGGTACTTGAGGTTTACTTTGTGAAGTAATGACATATGTCCACAAAACTATAAATAAATTACAAATGTTACTTATCGCAATACTCTAAATACAGTTTCCTACATTTAGACAAATTATTCAAAAACAACAGCTAGTTGTGTTTCATCAGGAGAAATAAATACATTCAAAATGTACACTCACTGACAATTTTGTTAGGTACACCTGTCCAACTGCTCATTAACTCAAATCAAATCTAATCAGCCAATCACATGGCAGCAACTCAATGCATTAAGGCATGTAGACATAGTCAAGACGATCTGCTGCGGTTCAAATTGAGCATCAGAATGAGGAAGAAAGGGAATTTAAGGTTTACAGAAAATGGTCCAAAAAAGAGAAAATATCCAGCAAGTGGCAGTTTTGTGGGCGGAATGTTGATGCCAGATTTCAGAGGATAATGGTCAGACTTGCTCAATCTGATAAAAAGGCAAATAACCACTCGATACAAGGTATACAGAAGAGCATCTCTGAACACACAACACATTAAACCTTGAGACAGATGGACTACAGCAGCAGAAGACCACACCGGGTGCCACTCCAGTCAGCTAAGAACAGGAAACTAAGGCTACAATTCGCACAGGCTCATCAAAATTGGACCATAGAAGATTGGAAAAACGTCTGGTCTGATGAGTCTCGATTTCTGCTGCAACATTTGGATGGTAGGGTCAGAATTTGGCTTCAACAACATGAAAGCATTGATTCATCCTGCCTTGTATCAATGGTTGAGGCTGGTGGTGGTGTAATGGTGTGGGAGATATTGTCTTGGCACACCTTGGGCCCATTGAGCATCGTGGTTCTAATTGAGCATTGTGACAACGCCACAGCCTACCTGAGTGTTGTTGCTGACCATGTTCATCCTTTTATGACCACAGTGTACCCATCTTCTGATGGCTACTTTCAGTAAGATAATGCACAGTTTGATAATGCGCCATTTGATAAAGTGCCAATCATCTCAGGGTGCTTTCACACCTGTGAATCGATTCAGTTGTTCCGAAACAGAGATTAAAGTTGTTACATTGTTGCTCTTTGCTCTTGGAGCGGTTCGCTTTCACACTGCAAAGTTTCTAATCGGACCAAAAGAGCTAAAACAAGTCACGTGCGAGTAAACTCTCCTCACATTGGTCAGAGTGTCAGGGTTTACTTTGCAGCGTCCCGCTCAGCTGTCAGGAGGTGGTGGTTTGGTGGTGATTGACAGGGTGCGCGCGCGTGACGTGTCTGAGGAGAGATGCGGTGGGGAGGGGTGAGAAGGGTGCGCGACGATGCCTATTTGAGGACTGGGAGAGAGACGCGAGATTACCGGGAGATCATCACTTGTTTGCGGGCATCCGGAGACTCGCGAAACTTCCCGCCCTACTCATAATTCTCTCTTCATGTAGCCGTAAGCTTATTACATATCCATAAAACACTGTAATATAACCGCACTCGGATCGGATCGCTTTCTCACTGCAATCGAACCGCTCCAGGGTTCGTTTCAATCGAACCGAGACCACCTCACTCAAGCGATCTCGGAGCGATTACTTTGGCGCGGAACAGAGCGCGATTGCCCTGTTCACATATGCCAATCGAACGGCGCTAACTGGGCAAACGAGATACGTTCCGAAACAAAATTGTAGGTGTGAAAGCACCCTCAGACTGGTTTCTTGAACATGACAATTGAACATGTACATACAAGTTCACTGTACTCAAATGGCCTCCATAGTCACCAGAACTCAATTCAATAGAGCACCTTTGGGATGTGGTGGAACGGGGGATTCGCATCATGAATATGCAGCTGACAAACCTGCAGCAACTGCGTGATGCTGTCATGTCAATATGGACCAAAATCTCTGAGGAATATTTCCAGTACTTTGTTTAATCTATGCCACGAATAATAAAAGCAGTTCTGAATGCAAAAGCATAAGGTGTACCCAACAAAGTGGTAAAGTACCTAAAACATTTTATGTAGTTACATTACAAAACACAAGATGTTTGAATGAAGAGCTATAGTTCCACAAATTGTGTTTAATCAATATAAAAATGTAACTATATATGTAATGAATTTATGAGGGTTGCACTCCTTAAGAGAAAATTATATAGAGACAATGGGAGAAACACTAATCACTACAATGATGAGTTGAAATGTTACAGCTTTTACCAAAAAACCTTCCAAAAAATTTTAACATTTAGTTAAAACATATACTACCTAAATAATCTTTGTATTTTATACATTCAGCATTTAATTTACCTTTGAAATTTTAACTTAGATTTTATTGTATATTTATTTTTACGGTATAGGTGGAAATATGAGTGTGAGTACTGTGTTAGACTAATTGTTAACCCAGCACACTTCTCCGCCTTCAATCCACAGCACCTTCTGACCTTACAGAGGACGAGCTGCTGTGAGAATGATTGGATGGAAGCGTTTTTGTCAAGTGACCTCCCAGCTGTTGGGAGGAAGCTGCTTTTGAGTTTTTGTTGCATGAACTGGATGGACCTTAAAGTCATGTTAATAATGCATGTTAGTTGTAGAGCAATGACACAGAAAAAAGCAGTTTCAAAGATCAATGTGGCTTTGTTGACAATTTTATGTGTTTTCAATGCTGTCAAAGCTGCCATACGATGCACTGATGCATGATGTTTATGTCCGAGTTTCTGTTGTTTTCTGAGGATGTCAATTTGGATCCTTTGCTATGTGTTTCTGATCGAGAGATTTATGTTGTCATTTTATAGTGTTGCTGATGCTGCATACTTTTTTTTTCTCCTCACCTCTGTGAAAATAACATCTGGAACACCCCTCCAGAGCAAATCGATCAACCCTGACGTAAAGGTGTCATAGAGTGCATTGATTCAATATGTAAAACCATTCTCTGATATCTAAATAGTAGGTATGTGGCTTAAGAAACGGTTTTGTATGCTCATTCATAACCAAAGGAATTACCCCTAGAATGAAATGCTCGGTTTTGACCATATTTGGATGGATAATTAATGATGTCTGATAATGTTCTGCAGCTAGTGTCAGTGTCTGATACTTAAACACACATACAGTGTAATGATGGGGTTGACAACCTGGGTTAGGATCCAAATGTAGCTTTAATAGACAGTTAAGCAGGCAAGGTTTGATACAGGAGCAGACAGTTTCAGGTAAAGGGGCGGGGTAGCCAGGAAAACAAACATAAACAATAAATACAAAGGATAAAAATATGGCAATGCTGGGAAAACGCTTATAAAAT